CTTCGTATGTGAAAACATCAATCTTCGATAAAGTAGACGCGGACGTGGATGGAGCAGCAGAGGGTTAAGGGACTGTCTGTTCATGGAGCGTTGTAATTTATTACACTTAAAATGAAATTTTTAATCACAAAATTTCAACCAATTACCTCAAAATATACTTTTTACTTTTAAAGATGCGAAACTCTATTCATTTATGGACATAAAAAAGTAAATTTATGTTAGTTTAGACATCGGCAGAAAGTGAAAATTAGCATGTTTCTGGTAGTACTTTTATTAAATTCGGGGAAAAGCAAGGGAACGTTAGGGTTAAGTTACGGGTTGGTGTAGTTTTGTTGTGGGTCGACAATAACAATAATAAGACCTGCTAATTATGTTAAAAAACTCTATGGTTTATTCTAAAACTCCAACTATGAAACCAACCACGTGTTACATTGATAGTCGCCATGTCTGATCTCCCTGACCTCTATATCTCATAAATATAGATGCCGCTATACATATTTGAGATACACATACTTCTCACTTTGTTTAATCAAAAGATCCCTAAACATCTTTAAAACAAATTAAATTTTAAACAACATGAACTTTAAACCTTTAACTCTTAACTCCTGATTCAAACAAATCTTTAAGACTCTTTTAAGACTTCTCAAAAGTCTCTACACAAAATTATTAAAACGACTTGGGCGCTTCTCTACGCGACCACTTCTCGTTTTGATCTCAGAACGAACTCTCTCAGAATTATCAACTGGTTTACTGAAATTTTCAACTCTAACATTAACATTATCATTCTCATTGATTATTTCGTTCTGCAAATTACTAGGTACTCTTTCTTTGATCTCAGATTCGCCTCGTTCATTGATAACATCCAAGTCACCTTCATTTATCACATCATTTAAACTACGTTCATTAATCACATCAGTTGAATCATGTTCATTATTCACATCATCCAAATCACATTCATTAATTACATCAAAACTCTTGTTCGGAACATGTCTTAAGTGTTTCACATTGCTTTGAATAAGTTTACCATTTTCTGAATTAACCAATTCAAATGCATTATCTCCTACTTGTTTCAAAATAACATAGTGCGTTCTAAAGTAAGTTGGATCAAGTTTACTTTGTTTAATACAGTTTGCAACAAACACTAAGTCTCCTATCTTAAAATTATGCACTTCTGCCTGTCGGCGAGTGTCGGCATGAACCTTCATTATAATGAAGGTATAATGAATAATAATTAGCCTTATAGGTCTAATTATGGTTCTTTAATTCTGCGGAAATATCAGTTTCCTGTCGATATCGCGGCAACTTAGTCTTTATGTTTCTGCCAAATAGCAATTCAGCTGGCGCTTTATTCGTAGATCTATGCGGTGTAGATATGTAAGCCATAAGTATCTTTGGTAACTCGCTTTGCCATACTTTACCTTCAGTTTTGGCATTTTTGATACATTTCTTAAAGTAGCGATGAAACCGTTCAATTTCCCCATTCGTTTTAGGGTAATAAGGTGAAGCAAGTAGATGTTTAATACCACATGCGTTAAAGTATTTCTCAATTTTGGCACTTAACTGTTTTCCATTATCAGTTAGGACCTCATCAGGGTATCCAAATCTTGCGAATACCAATTGTAAACATTCAATAATAACATTGGAAGTTATCTCTTTTACAATAATTGCCGCATGGTAGGAAGAGTAGTAATCAGTAATTGTTAAAATATACTCTCTTGCTTTCAACATTAGCATC